CCGCCTGTGACCGCTGGGGCCCTGCAAAGGAGACTCAGAGGAGTAAGGTGGGGTCTCACTCTTCCAAAGCTGCCAGCCCCTGAGAGAAACTGAGCTTTCCCAGAGCAACCAGGGAGCTGCGTCGAACAGTAAAAAGGTCACTTTTGTTTGTTTTAGAGAGCATGTGCAGGGGTTGGGGGGGAGAGGGGAAAGTTACGGGGAGGGGCAGAAGGAGGGAGAGAGTCTTAAGCAGGCTCCATGATCAGGGCAGAGCCCCACGTGGGGCTTGATCCCATAAGCCTGAGATCACAACCAGAGCTGAAATCAAGAGTCAGACGCTTAACTGACTGAGCAACCCAGGTCGCCCCCAAAATGGTCATTTTTGAATTGAAAATTTGATAAAGTGCCTAGGAAGAAGTAGCACCTGGGCTGGGCCCTGACAGAAAGGAGACAAAGCCCTATCGGCGGGCAGGGGAGGGGGAGGGCCAGGCCCCTCTGTGCCCCATCACCAGGCGGGTCTCTGCTGGAACAGGAATGAAGAGCTCCTGCTTCATCCAAGCTGCCCAGTGCCCCAGCCCAGTCCACCAGCCTCCCTCTCTCGGGCTGCGTCAGTGGGGTCACTGGTGACTCTGACCACGCACCTGAGGAGGCCACACAATCTCCTTGTCCTTGGTCTAAAGACCAACCACTACACCCCTTCGGACCTCAGAGGGCTCTTTGCGGAAATGAAGATAATACTTTGCCCGGTGCGGTGACAGGGGCTCAAAGGACACGGGGCAGCGGGCAGGAGGCAGTGAGGGCCTCCGGGTGTGGGGCCCCGGAGAGCAGCATCGAGGGTCAGTCTCTGAGGCAGGGGGGCAGTAAGTTTTCTATTCTACAGGCTACCTCTCTAAACACACACAGGGGCCTCAAAAGCAGACGCCAGCGGGCACAAGGGAGCCCAGGCGCCGGGAGGGGTGGAGGTTCGGCCTTCCTGCTGGTTGGGACACGCTTGCGGCCGGTTCCTCAGCGTCAAAGGGCCTTCCCTAACCCGGGTCTGCCTCAAGGCCCCTGCGGCCGCGCCCTCTGTCAGGCCCTTTGCATTCTGTGTTCTAATAATGGTTTAGAAGACTATTAGGCTACTTAAGAGCAGGGGCGTGTTTTATATGTCTGTTTTCTACCCATGGGCTGAGCACACGGTAACCTCCAACCACCCATGCCATGACCCAACGAGCGTTCTTCCAAACCACTAGCCCATCCCAAGTGCAGTGGTCGGGTCCTTCTGCTCTTGGACGGAAGAACCCAAGGTTTCCCAGTCTACACGGGGTCTCACTGGAGGTCTCCCCGGCCCTCTGCATGTACAATGACCTTCGCAGCCCAGGCAGCAGCCACCTCCACGGTCATCTCTGTCAGTGTGAGACAGGTCAGGGACTCACTGCTTGGTCCCCGAAGACACCTTTTCTGCCCAGGGGTTAAGCAAAGTCCGTCTTTCAGTGACAATGAAATAAAGGGGAAAAGACAGCAGGGACAAAACCACACCCCACAAGTAAACACAGCCGAACGCCTGAAGGCCAGCCAGCCAGCACACCGCAAGGGCCTTCCGCCATCGGGGGAGGCGGAGGGAGCAGATGACCTGACCGCCCGCTTCCAAGGCCTTCCTCCCAGTCCACCAGCTCCTACTCCACACCCGCCCGACTGTTTCTTCCCTGCCCTCTGCCGTCCCCCACCCCCGGTCAGATTTTCAAAGTGTCCCTCCAGTTAGGCTCCTCTCCCTGGATCCCTGAGGTTCGAAGCCCTCGTTGGTCGGTGGCCATGGGAGGGTCCCGGCCACTCCCCTGGGCCTTAGTTTCCTGTTTGTCCCTCAGGAATAAAGGTGACAGCAGCTCGTGAGGGTCTACGGGAGATGAAATGAGATAAAATCCAAAACTCTCTGGGACACGGCTGTGTGTTTGTGTTTTTTTGCCTCCCCGCCACGGTCCCCCTCATAGAGGCACAGAAACCAACTCAGGCTGCCTCACCTGCCCTCACAGCAGCCTGCTGCCCCCTGCAGACAAAGGAAACTCCCACCCTCGGGGTGCAAAGGAAGGGGGGAAGAATCTAGAGGAACAGCCTTGGACGGTCGCTTGCCAGTTGGACAAGCTGGAGTCAGTCGGGGGCAGGCAGTGCTCAGAGGGTGTATGTAGCCTTTAGAGCAGAACCAAGGGATCTGGGTCTTTCCATAACCAACCACATGACCTTTGGGCAAGTCCCTTTCCTCCTCTGTCCCTCAGTTTCCTCACCTGTGAAACAGTCAACCTCTCTGTCCTACCTACTTCGTGGGGTCTCTGAGAAGAAGGTGCTGTAGAGAAGGGAGCGACAGGGAGTGATGGTGGGGTCCAGAAGGCCTGGGAGCTGCGTGGAGCATAGACAGGGTCAGAGGCTGCCTCTGCCAGGGGTGTTCTTCTTACCTGCTTCGGACTCAGTTTTGGGATGCTCGCGCCAGGCCCCACACAGAACTCCCCTTAGGGAAACTCTTCCCTCCAGTCAAAGCCAGTTTCTGTTTTTTGTTTTGAAAAAAGATTTATTTTGAGAGCGAGAGCGCGTACGTGAGAGAGAGCGCACATGTGTGCACGTGCACGTGGAAGGGATGAGGAGGGACAGAGGGAGAAGCCGACTCCCTGCTGAGTGTGGAGCCAGATGACTTTGGGGCTGGATCCCAGGATCCTGAGATCATGACCCGAGCCTAACTCAGATGCTTAAGTGACTGAGCCCCCCAGGCGCCCCAAAGCTGCTTGCTGTTTTGAAGGAAAAATCTTTTGCTCCTGCTCCCAAGTCTCTTAACAGAGAAATTGGCCATTCAAGTTTCTTTCTCTTTCCCCTTTCAACCATGCAACTCACATCCCTCAGGAAGCCCTCCCAGATTAGGCTCAAAACACACTCTTCCTTCCAGCACATCCTCCAGTATTTGAGTTCATGCTTGGAGGGCAAAACCCACAACTTCCATCCTTCTATGGCCTGCACCTGGCACACAGCGGGCACTCAGGAAGTAACGACCAGTTAAATATGTACATAATGGATTCGATCACAATTGTTAAAGTTTCTGTTGTTCAATATTTAAAGAGCTAAGAACATTGCGTTACACAGGAGACTCCTGACATTCCACAGGGACTAGCAGCCCCAGTAGGCAGGGGTCCTGTCTCTCCCTTTTGTAACAGGGGCACACAATGTACCCCGGGTTGTGACCAGGCTAGGTCCATTCAAAGCCCTTGGTTTAGTCCCAAATATCATCAGACAGCCGGGCAGGATGGCACAGTGATTAAGAGCAAGGACTTTGGGGGCGCCTGGGTGGCTCAGTGGGTTAAGCCTCTGCCTTCGGCTCAGGTCATGATCTCAGGATCCTGGGATCGAGCCCCGCTGAGCTCTCTGCTCAGTGGGAAGCCTGCTTTCTCCTCTCTCTCTCTGCCTGCCTCTCTGCCTGCTTGTGATCTCTGTCTGTCGAATAAATAAATAAAATATTAAAAAAAAAAAAGAGCAAGGACTTTGGCTTTCGAATCTTGACGCAACCACTTACTTGCTGTGTGACCTTTGGCAAGTAACTGTTGTGAACCAAAAAGGAAGGCAAATGCCCATCTCACCTAGTTGTTGTGAAACACAAAAGAGAAGATGAAAGTAAATTATTAGCACAGAGCCTAGCACATAGGAAATGCTAATAAGTCAAGGCTTTTAGTACTGCAAGGTGAGAGCTGACCCCCTCCCCCAGCTGCAGAGTATTGTCATCCTTGTCTTTTCTCCACCTCTTCTCAAACTCGCCTTTCTCTTTTGCTGAATGCAATATACAAAGAAAGCTCAGGCAAATAAGAAGGAATTTCTTAGAGAGGGAGGGTAGAAATATGGGCAAAGAAAGTTAAGGCTTCCTTCTGGGAGCCAATCTAGCCAACAACCTGCATCACCCCTTCCAGGAAGAGGAGTGTCGCCGCTGGTCTTTCTCGATCGTTCTTTCCTCCCAGACCACTTCAGCCTCCAGGGGTAACAGGGCTCAACCACATCTACTCGGCTGAATTAGAAAGGTGAACCCAAGCCACCCCTGTTGTATATTCTGCACCAGGCACTAAAGGCTGCTGGTGTTTCTTAACAAATCTCCGTGGGCGAGCCAGACTTAGCAAATGAAGCTACAGAATGCTCCATTGAATCTGAACTTCAGAAAAACAACAAAGACCATCTTAGTATCAGTATGCCGCATGCAATGTTTGAGGCATACTAATACTAAAAATTATTTATCGTTAATCCAAAATTCAAATTGAACAGGATGTCCTATGTTTCAGCTGGAAACTCTAACCAAGGTGCCCAGGGCACTAAATTCTTCCCCTCCTTGTCCCACAACCACAATACTGGTCCATCAGTATTTTAACTAGCTACTCTGGAAACATCCCCTCGTTTCAACCCCCAGGCAGAGACTCGGCGGTCCTGCCCCTCCTCCACCCCAGCTGCTGAGTCCAGTGGCTTGTTCTCAGAATATGTTTCCTCATTCATTCCAGGCTGCTTGTCTAGTACTGGCCCCCAAGGCGAGGGGGTGAATGCCAGTCCCGTCTTGACTCGGGGTGGGGGGGGGTCTCCTAAGAACAGCATGGCTGGGGTAAGGGTGGAGAAGTCCCACCACCCTGTTGCTTGAAAACCAACCGAGAAGGTGGCCTGGGGCAGGTTTTGTAAATCCCTGGGCAGCACATGGGTTATTATCTCAACCTCTGAGTGGCCCATTTTACCACAAAGCCCCCACTCTTCCCTACAGAGAGGGGCTTGACAGGGAGAAAGCAGCACAGGGCGGGGGAAAGCCAGCCCCTCTGGTCGCTGAAGAATGACAAACCACCGTTCCGCGGGCTGTGATTTGCCGAACACGTTCCCAGTCATCCTCTTCAGAGGCCTCGCCAGCCCCTCGGCTTAAGGGAGGGTTCGGGGCCCGTTTTCCAGAGCGGTCAGGAAGTCCTGACCCAGGCCCTGCCTCCGAGGTGGGGCCTGGTCCAGGGGCTGCCCGTGGGGGTCCCACAGGTGTGGGGGGCGGCGCCTACCTTCTGGGCCTGTTGGATCATCTGCCTGACCACCTGCTTGAGGTGGGGCGCCTTCTCCTCCTTGGGGGGGTGGGTGTAGAGGGTGATGCGGCTCACGCCGCGGTAGACGCCCTGGTCGGTCCAGCCCAGGTCCAGCGGGGGCACCTCCGTGTCGGAGCGGTCCGGCCAGTAAGCCAGGGACTCGCAGGGCTCGGTCGGGGCCTGCGCCTGCGCCGGGGCTTTGGCCTTGGCCTTGCTCTTGCCCCGGGCGGCGGCGGCGGCGGTGGCGGTGGCGGCGGCGGCATCCTCGTAGGGGCTCCAGGCGGCGCGGAGGGCCTGTTGCTCCCGGCTGGAGAGGAAGTCCCGCAGCTGCTCCTTCTGGACCAGCTCGCGGTAGGCCCGCTCGCCGCCGGCCAGCAGCGCCTCCAGCGCGGCCCTCCTCCGCTCGCAGTAGTAGAAGGCGGCCTGCGCCTCGGTCACCCTCTCGTTCACGTGCGCCTCGTCCAGGCAGCTCAGCTGGGACTCGGCCATGGCGCCGCGGCCGCCCGTCCCCGGCCCCGGCCCTGGCCCCGGCCCCAACCCCGGTCGTCCCGCCTCACCTGGAGCCTAGGGGCGGGGCGCCTCACCTGGCCGCGAGGTCGGCCAATCCGCGCGGGCCGGGGCGCGGGCGCGGCCGTCGGGCGGGGACGGGGGGCCGCGCCCTCTGCCTCCGGGGGGTCGGGGGCGGGGCGCGAACGGTGCCGGCGGCCTGGGGGGATAGTTCCCGGGGGGCGGGGGGTGGGCGGACCCGGCGGGGACCAGGCTTGTGGGCCGGGGCCCGGCCCGGGAGCTCCAGGGTGGGCAGGAAATTGCAGAGGTGGTGGTGGGGGGGGGTCTCCTAGTTAGACGCACGTGAGGCCTCTGGCCGGCTTCTGCCTCTCGGTCCTGACCCTTCGGTGGCGATGATCTAACCCTTCCTGCGGCCTGGCAGGGCCGGACACCGAGCAGGCGTGCGTTCATCTTCCTCGCAGTTATGGCCGCAAGCACCTGCTTGGTCGGGGTGCCTCCGGGGTGATGGATCTGACCACTCCCGGCGTTGAGGGTACCGGGGTGGGGGTGGGGCCCTGCTGCCAGATGGGATTGTGACGGCTTGGGTGGGGTGTGTGTGTGTAGGGGAGGGAGGTTGTGTGCACAAGCGAAATGCTAATAAAACCCTCAGCTCCCGGCCCACATGTCCCAGTTCCGAGATCAGAGGGACCCAGAAACTGTCAATACAGCTCCTTCACCACGATGACAGTTTCTTAAAAACAAACAACAACAACAACGAAACAAATATAGCAAGGACTTAAGTTGCAGTGGTAGAATTTCACCCCCATTTTAATCTGAACTGACGTGTGTGTGTGTGTGTGTGTGTGTGTGTGTGTGTTTGGGCAAGCTAGGCTGCCAGAGGCCTGATTACTATATTAGTGATTCAAAGTACATGTTTGAGCTCAAGGAAAGAAGCTGCACACACACACACACACACACACACACACACACACATCACCAGCGGCGGCTGCTCTGCTGTTTCCCATTGGATTAAATACAATCTTCTTAGTCATTAACATATTATTTTGTTCATGCACTGCTGTACAACTTGATTCTCCACATTCAAAATATTTTCAGATCATAGCAACCAAAGGTTCACATTTCTCCCATTTTATAGCACAGCCTCTCAGAGCTGGAAGGAGCACTAGAAACTGGTCCAACCCCCTCATTTCAGAGCTGAGGAAATTGAGGCCTTGAAACACGTGGTCTGGCTAGGCCTCCCACAAAAGGAGAGGTGGTGTGTGGGGCCTATTAGGTTCTCTGTGTCTCAGCGATCTTTGCCCTACATCTCAGCCGCCGTTGCCCTTTCTCCTTGTGAAATGACAGAAGGTTCCTGGGGACCTGATTTCAAACCCCAGGGAATTTGAAGAGGTTGCCTACTATTTCTGGGCCTTCCTGTGACAGCATGGGGGGAAAAAAAGGGTTAGATTGTCAAAAAGCTGTGACTACTGTGACACAGTAGTCCATTGAGGCACCCAGCATCAGCCCAAAGATCAGCGGTGGTGGGCAGCGAGATGCCCATGCCTGTGCCACCCTTAGGAGCCGCAAGGCCTCGCTTCTGGCAGCATTTTACGCTTAATTTCATCTTTAGACAAATTTTGTCTCTAGAATGGAAACCATTCCTAAAGCTTTCCAGGCCCTAAGAGATGCCAGACGGTGAGTACCCTGGGGGCACAGAGGGGTGCAGGGAGGTGGGGATAACACAGGTGTGACAAAGTGCTCTGATTAACTCAAGCAGCGGTGCTTCGGAGCAAACATATACTCAACGCCCACTATGTGCTGGGCACGCAGAGTGCGCGCAGAAACTGGTTCTTTAAAACGGAATCAATTAGGGCCAAGAGAAAGGTATGTGCAGGGAGCTGTGGGGACTTTAAGGGAAGAAAGAATTAATCTTGCCCAATGGAACGTGGATAAGAAAGGCTTCACTCAGCAGGAGGGGATTTTGAGTGGAGCCTAAAGGATGAGAAGGTTTCAAGGGGAGAGAGGGAGTGAAGACACTCCAGGCAGAGGGAGAGGGCCAGAGCCTCATGTTGACATCAGGCACATGAGGCTTCAGGTCAAAAGCCTTAACCCTCAGAGCCTTAGTGTCCTCATCTGCAAAATGGGATAACAATGCCGATATCCTAATACCTCCCAGATTGTTGTAAGGATTAAATGAGATCTGGTGTTTGATTTAATTAGCTTTTGTGTCTGGCTGGTAGAAAGTGGTTTACAACATTGCTTCCAACTTTCCTGTGCATGGAAATCACCTGGAGGATCTTGTGAAAATGCGGGTTCTGATTCAGGGGGTCTGAGGTGCGGCCCCAGATGTTGCCTTTCTAACAAGCTTGTAGGTTATGTTGGTAGCGCTGGCCCCTGGACCACACTTTGCCAGCAAGTGGCAGATTTTTCAGAGGCCAGTTGAAGAAGAGCATGAACTTCCATGTCAGGGAGTCCTGGAATGAATCTCACTTTCTTGGGATAAGCTGTGTGTCCCTGAGAAAGTTACTTCCCTTTTCTGAGCTGTCTGAGTCACGTCTTCGGTGAAATGTAGGCTATAAAAAGTCCTACCTTAGGGGCACCTGGGTGGCTCAGTGGGTTGGGGCCTCTGCCTTCAGCTCGGGTCGTGGTCCCGGGGTCCTGGGATAGAGCCCCACGTCGGGCTCTCTGGTCAGCGGGGAGCCTGCTTCCCCCCACCTCTCTGCCTGCCTCTGCCTGCTTGTGATCTCTGTCTGTGGGATAAATAAATAAAATCTTTGGGAAAAAAAAAAAAGTCCTACCTTGCAGGGCTTCGTGAAATGTCTGGCCTCGCAGAGAAGCCGGTAAAGTATGGGAAGATGGGACTGGAGAGAGAGGGATGTTGGGGCCAAATTATGGGGACCTTGATTTTAGATCTTATCCTGTAGCTAGAGGGGAGGCACTGAAGGTTATTAAGAGACTGGTCTGATCATAAAGAGCAGTGATCACTGTGTGCCAGATGCTGTGCTGGGTATTTTGGGGATCCTACCAATGAATTAATATAATCCTATTTTAAACATTATTATCATCCCCATTTCGTAGGTAAGGAAACTGAAGCACAGGGACGTTCAGTAGCATACTCTAAGTCACCCAGCTAGTGAATACGAGAGTCAGGATTTAAACCCGGGTCCTCTGAGCCCAGAGCTTGCCTACCCATCTGCCTTGCTCTACTGCGTCGGGTGAGAATGTTAGGAAAGGGCATTAGTGAGAGACCATGCTCCCCTAGCTTACTAATTTAATCATTCAACGAACATTTGCCGAATGCCTAGCGTGGTGCTCTGGGTTAGAAACCGTTCATTGATTTAGAGATCCTTACTGAGCCTTAACATAGGTGCGGTGATGCAGCTCTGAACCAAACCAAGTCCTTGTTCACGTGGAGTTCCCACTGAAGTGCAGTGATTAAGACACTGTTTTCGCTCTCAAGAAGCCCAAATGTTATGTGACATAAGTTGGAATTGGACAGAAGGTTAGAATCAGAGTGGAATATTTTAGTAACAGTTGACATTGGAAAAGATCTGTCCTAGATGTAACTGATAGGAAACACCCTGTGGTCTTTTTGGAATATTCTCCCTTAGGTACCAAGGACTGACTTACCCAGCTCCCGGTTTTGAGCAGTTACTGTGTGCTAGATAACATGCTTGCCACTGGGAGTAAGAAAAGAGGAATCAGATACCATAGCCAGCTGCCGTGGCGGCTGCCTGAGTGTAGCTGGGAGTCGGATGCCCCCAACTGTCTCTGCAAAGCAGGGGATAAGTGACGGCCTTGGCACTGGCGTTCTCAGGGAGGCTGCAGGCTATGGAGTCGTTTTAACCTATAATTATCCAATTTGATCTGCCCCTAATCTGGTGAAGTAGACTCGGAAAGGGATTACAGGGAGGGGTTAAAGATTCATAAACTGAGACTCCGGGAGAGGACCCATTCCAGGTTATCCGCTGGCAAGTAGAAACACCGGGGGGCACCCGTCCACTCAGCCTGAAACCCCCGGCCTTCCACACCCCCTTCAACAGCTGAACACTGTGTATTATCACTGGGGTTTTTAAAAAGCCTTACCTGCCAGGGAATTGAATCCTTTCAGGCACAGGCTCTATCTATTTTGCATCTGGGGACATTCCACGAGGTGGTGACAACCTGGAAGAAAGCCTCTGGCCCCACACCAGTCCCTCCAGTCCTGGGGCTGGAGTTTCCCTAAGCGAGGTGGAGCCCGTCGTGCTTGCCTTTCCCACTTTGGAGGCCAGTTGGCCCAAGGTCACTGTGTCTTCCTGAGAAATCGTGCCTCTGCCTCTGGCAGAGGCCGCTCCCCCACTCACCCGGGTGCTTGGCTCCCATTCACCTTCCTCTCCCCAGGGCACGCTACCTGCTGAGTGTGCAGTAAAGGTATGACACCTTGTCGTTAATGCTAATTGTAACTGTGTTCGTCTCTGCACTCGTCTATTTTCCCAGGCCCTCCTGTGTAATTTGAGTCCCAAAATAGCCCACCTCCTAATAGATCAGCTACACGTCCCAGGGCTGACTTTTTCCTCCTCTGTGGAAATTTGTGTCGTGAGCACCTGTTGTAAAACGTGGCGGACTCTTCGTGCCTGCTGCCTATCCCCAGAGAGGAGGAGAGAATGAGAGGAGGTGGCTGAAGCTGGCACCGTGGTGAGGAGGGTGTAGATTCTAGGACTGAGCTAGATGAGCAAAAGCTTTCTCCTCTGACCGGCTCTGCTGGCCCCGAGGGAGGAACACACCCAGGTCTTCCCCAACCCTGCCAGCTGGGACTTACCAAATCTTCGTCTTTTTATTCATGAATGGTTTTGGGACACAGATTATGTACTAGGCAAGCTCCCGGCCTCCAAGACCTTCCAGACTTGGAGACTTTGTTGTAGCTGCAACCTTGGAAGCATATAGGTTTTCCTCCGCCACCCCCAACCACTCTGCCACGGCTTCCCTCTCAGCTCCAGAACATTCTCCTCCACTCATTCCAGTTC